AAAAATTAACACACTATCAAAAAAGCAACGTATTTGGGTACTGAGAGTCTGAGTAGATGTACCGTTAGGCGAATCCCAAGATAGCATTCACGCTTGAATGAAAATTTGGCTGGAAAACATCTTCCATTAGTTGTATTACGCCATCAACTTCGTCTGCACAACAATGGCTATTTCCAGCTAGGTAAATTGCGATACGAGAAAAACGAACACACTCACCAAGGGAAAAGCCACCAGAGCTGACGCCTGATGTATAAATTATATTAAAAATATGGCTGGTGGTGAAATCAGTGACGGTATTAATAAATAAGATGCCAAAAGGAACTTACCAAGAAAAAAATCACTTCCTCATGAGCAAGGGCTGCCGTGAGATCATTGCCTACCATTGACTGCTTTACAAAACCTTGCAACTACATAATACAAAGTGTAAGTAATTACTCACATAGAGGATCTATCAAGCGTGCCTATTGCAATAAGTTTCTTAGACATGGATTGATCTAATAAGAAAGAGGCGGAACCTTCCATGCACCATGCCCAAAAATTTCAAGCATTCTTACTATTTTTGTGATCTCTCACAAGAGAAAATCAAAAGGTGAGTATATAGAATTGTTATGATATCCCAATAGGATTCTCATACGGTCAACTAGCTACTATGGTACTTAAAAACCAAATTTTAACTGAACTCCAGTAAGGAAAGAATTGAAATGGTTGAATATTTTGATTGCTAAAGAGTTTCATATTTGCATTCCCTAATATTGTTGTTGAAGAAGCAATATAACTGGAAGGAAATATGTCTTACACAAAGGGGTTAGAAGTTAGCACATATAGATGGTTTTGATTTATAATCAAAGAAAACCACAATGAAACTCCAACAAGTTTTAGGTATATGTACACATCATGACTCAGGACTCTGGTAGACAGGGCAATGCCCAATTCCGAATCTCTTCCATACTCCCACAGTCCCACTACCAACCCCCATCATTCTTCTTGCAAAGTTTCAGAAACTGGCAGCAACCTTTTTCGGCTTATTGGATGCAGTAACTAGAATAAGATGGCAAGGCACAGGAGAGAGCTCCATGTGACTCGTTGGGGGAACCTGGAATTGTTATAAGGGAACCTAAACCAGAAATGGCAACTAATTTTACGGAACCATCAAGCGCTAATCCTAAAGGAGATGGGAAAAGAATTCTAGGAGATAATACCCCTAGAAGTCCACCAATCAATGAGGCCTTGAGTAAAAATCTGTTACAATCTTATTTTATTCCAAAGAAAGGAACCCAACAAGTTTCTATTTTGGATTTAGATTTTACATTAGAACCAGAAAAACTTATTGATGCATGGTACAGTCATATTATGGTTGCTATGATTCTTAGTAAGGAAATTATAAAAAATGAAGCTAATTCATGGAATTATGTTTTAGCAAGTACTAGAGGAAATGCCTGATCATTTCTTGAAAGATTTGATAACAATGTAAAGAATGATATATGGGGAGATGCTCAGTATAATACTCCACAATTTGTTATTGTTGAACAACTTTACAAACAATTGACTGGACAAATCTATGAGGTTTTTAAAAGTGAAAGGACAACAATTGAAGTTGCAGATGCATTGAATCATTTAGAAAAAATTTATATATGTGATATGTGCTATTTTGAGAATTATGCATGTGAATTTGCAAAATATTTCTACATTAGCCCTAATGAAAAATGGGAAGAATTAATTGAAAATTTTATTAGAAAACTTCCTGAGCCTTTTAATCATGAGGTCATGGAAATGTTTAATAATGTCATAACCAAACAAGAAAATCATATTGATCCAACACTTAATATTAAGTAGAATCCTCTTTAGGATTAGTTATTACTTTGACAAGAAATCTTTTGGCAGACAAGTGTAAATAAAATATTTTAATAAGAGATAGTAGACAAGCTATAACCAAAAATCCTAGGTTATGCTGTGAAAATCTCAACAGAATTCTGGATGTTTACCATACAAAAAAGAGAAAAAGAAAAAGTATTTTAAAAAGAAAAAATACATTTTTAAGAAATATAAGAAACCTTATAAGCAAAAAAATTTTATGAAAAGAAAATTTTTTAAAAGACAAAAACATTTCCAAGGGGGAAGAAAAGAAAAGATGGATAAAAAGAAATTTTGTCCGCAACTGAAAAAGAATTATAGATGTTGGCTCTGCAATGAATCAGGACATTATGCTAATGAATGTCCAGCAAGACTTGGAAATGAGGAAAGAGTTGAACTCCTTAATACATTCTAAGAAAAAGGCTTCTACCCAGTAGAAGATAAGAGTGATACAGAATCTTTATATTACTTAACTGCAGATTCTGAATATGATTATTCGGAAACTGAATCATCCGAGGATGAGTAATAAAAATATTACAAATCCAAATTCAATCTATATTCCTATAAAACTAAGTTTTGAAGGATCTAGAAAATTTACAGTATATGCATATGTTGATACTGGAGCATCAGTATGTACAACAAGTAAATAGATCATACCTAAATAATTTTGGGTTACATCTGAAAGAACTTTAAACCTAAAAATTGCAGATAAATCTGAAATCAAAACTTCTAAAGTAATAAAAAGTTTAAACATTGAGGTTAGTGGATTTTGTCAAGCCTAATGGAAAACATTTTATTTCAAAATACCTACAGTATATCAACTTGAAACCGGTATTGATTTTATGATTTGTAATAACTTTTGCCAATTATATCATCCATTTATTGAAAAAATTGAATCTATAAGTTTTACTCTTAATTATAAGAGATTGTGGATTCCAAAACAAAGAAAAGCAATGGCTATGAATGTTTTACAAGAAATTTTCTTAGTCTACCTTGTGGTCATAGTGAGTTCAAGCTTCATAAGAGAGTACAAATTCTCTCCCTTTTCACCATTTTGATCTCCTCCTAAGATATTGCCAACACTTTTCCCTCCAAACAGAAGTACCAGAGCATAACTTCTAGATGAAGAGAGAGAGAGAGAGAGAACAAATCTCCTTGTAAATTATTCATAGAATTTCCATATCATGAAGAGATGTAACATTCAAGAAATATTCCACATTTGAATAAAGGGATTTCTATTAATTCACCATATGCCTGGCTAAAACGTTTACAAACTAGCAATAAATTCAATCATCCATCCACCTCTTTTCTCAAAATTTATGGGCATGCTCAATAAATCAGTAATATCTTCCTTAAATTGCACGCATGCCTATTACTTTTATAGAAACACGGAAAAATTTTCATGATGGTTAATATGAAAATTTTCATGGCTTAGATTGTTCTAGCGTACAAATCTTATCCCCCTAGACACAAAACATAGATCCATAACTGTTTCAGAATCCAATAGAAGAGGCAAAACAAAAGGAAAATACTAACTGGTTGTAATATATAGGCAAGATAAATGAGTTTCTATGACTTCAAGACACTGTCATGCACATAGTCAAAAAGACATAAAAGAGGGATGAATAGCAAAACATTTGAGGGGGGGAAAGGGTGGGGGTAAACTACAAGTCAGTACCTGGTGATGATAAAGCTTTGCAGCTGTGAAGGTTTTCAAAACATGAGACTTGCAGTAGCCCCAAGCTGGTGTGAGATAGGGATCCAAAATCCCCTTTAACATTTTGAAATAAGGGGCAAAAGTAGTTTTTATGAACTACAAAACAAAGAGCAGTGTTCTCAGCATCAAGGAATTTTAGGAAAGAAACATGGAAACAGTAAACATTAGAACTGTATAAGCAAGATGCAAACTAGTGACAGCACACAACAGTTCCACAAATTGAACTTATTAAATACTTGATAAAAAGGAAACAGTTGATATGCCAATATGAAGAAAAGCTTTAAGGAGACAATATACCTTCACAAATGGACATCTATTCCATCTTACTTCTCTTTTATATTTCAACATTCTCATCTGAAACATGAAGTCCTTTCAGAGCTTAAAGCAAAAGGTTGAAATAGTGTCTCATTTAGTTATTTGTAAATATGTTGTCCAACAACAAAGGGCGAACAAGAAAATACCTCTGCCATGTGAACAGCTTGCTCAAGTTGCTGAATTTGAATCCACTGTTCAGATACGATTTCAGCCATCTATAGGGACAAAAAAGTTAGATTAACAGTTACATTCCCAGTGACGTGTTGGTCAAATATACCCTTCATATCATTAACTCGATAAAATCATACAATGAAATCATATGAACTTTTGTGGAACTAAAGATCAACGAAGAGCACTCTATTCCTCAAATACTAACGACTTTGCTTATCATGATTGAGGACACTATTACATGAGATACCACAAATTAAACGCAGAAACTGATGGAGAACCTGAAACCAATAGTTATTTGAGAATATGCATCCTCCCAATTTTGCAGCAATTCCGAAAAAGTTCAAGGTACTTAAAAATTCATCTTAACATATTCATTCATACTTCATAGAACCAATAAAGAAAGGAATAACACGGACAAGATTAGTATTTCAACAATCAAAGAACTGACCTCTTCAACTTGTGAAGTAACAAGTTTCAATCTTCTCTCAGCATCTAATGCTTTAAGCTCCAAACTATGAATCTCAAAGTTGTTCCTCCGAGAGGCATCCCAAAGAGGTCGAACCTATATAACTCCAGTAACACTAAAATTAGCACAACAATAGATTAAAAAAAAAAGTGAAGGTAGAAAAAACAATATACTATATCATACTCTATACCTCTTTTTCAAGAGCATCAAGCCTTTGATTTGCACGCAAGGAATCAACCTCGAAGCCTGACAAAATGGCTCTTAGACGGTCAATTTCAAGAGTAAACTCTTCAATTTTCTTCTCAATATCCCTGATATATAAGCTTTGGGCATTCGAAAGTCTAGATCTTTCTTCAAGAATCGACTCTGCACACTCGAGCGGGAGTAAATCAGCATTAATTTAAACGGGCATTCATCATATATAATTGGGATTCGTATTGAGAAAATACCTAATCGAGCGACTTTGAGCTTCAGCTCTTCCACTTCACAGGGAAGAGGCTTCTGGACCTGCAGGTTCTGCTGATCGGTACAAAACGTCCCCGTCCCAGTCCCAGTCCCAGATTGCACCGAAGTATCTAGGGCAGTCGTTTCCACAACGGAGAAAGGAATAGTAATCAATATAGCGGGAAGCAATATTAAAGCTATTGCCATTCTGCACTCTATACTTTTGAAAGTTCTTGCTATTTCATAAATAATAGAGCTTCAAATCTTCATAATCAGAAGAAGATGAAACATTAACCAATTGATTATTCATTTTTCTCACCCATCATTTGTAGTTAGTTAGATGAATTTCGAAATTGAAAATGCCAAGTTTCCCACATTGAAAAAGAACCTCAGGTTATACCGCTTTATTACTCAGAACATGGAAGACACCAATCGCCGAGCTTGGTAACGCGAGCTTGTGACCCAAGTGGGGGCACCAAGGTGTTTGGACATTGTTCAAGCCCAACTGGCTGGATTCAGGCTTGCAATTTGCTGGCTTGCCCATTCCAAGCAAGGAATTGGGCTAAGTGGTCTAAGCGAAAGCATGGGCCGCTTGGCCCTTAGAGTGGGGGATACTGCGTCAGGCTGGCTTCACAGAGCAGCGATAACCTCCCATTCTTTGCAGTGGAAGGATAACGGGCCGGAGCTACCTGATCCATCAAAGTCAGATGGACCTGTCCAATAGGACAATCACTTTTTCCTTTTTTGGTGGCCCGTAACGCCATAGCTAGGCTAAGCCTCTCAATTAGGATTGATAATTAACTTTTGACAATTATCAAAATTATATTAATATCAATTTTATTAAGATATTCACTATGATTGCTTGTCATTGAAAATTAACATAATAGTTTAATAAAATTAAATATTCGAAGGGATTAAACAGAGTTGTTTGGCAACTTTAATCAAGGGAGGTCAATACCTCTTAAAATAAATTATTATTATTCTCGCAAAATCAGTGAAATTCTCTCCCTTTCTACGGTGCATAAATGAAAATTTTTCTTTATTCCAAGTATGTGTCGTGATGGAAGTAAGAGTTTTCTCGCCCAGGACACTATTCGAGTGGAATCAAGCACGTTATGGGCAAGTCAAACAAATGGCTTTATTGTACACAAAAAAAAGCAAAATAAATTTGATTCCAAGAATAAAATAGAAATTGAAAATAATTTGCAAAAACGTTGGCAAATTGACAAAGATCCCACTAAAATGAATATACAGAAAAAATAATTATAAACGTTTTTCTTTTTTTCCATTTTTTTTTTTTTTAAATACGTTAATCTAACGAGCAACACATTGTCAATCAAAGAATGAACTCAATTATGCCTAAGAGACTAAATTTCATTAATCATCGAAATTACCTAAATCTTGAACTACAAAAAATCTTCTATCTAAAACACTAAATTCAACGATACCCTCAACTTCCCAATTACATTCAACCCTCAAAACCATACAAAATCAAATATATAATATAAGAAAAAGAAAATAACCCACTTATTAATTTCAATCAAATATCATATACGGCTCGAACCTTGATTAAGATGGTATCCCTACCAATTATCAGGATGGAGAGCCACCACGAAATTATTATCATTAACGGCCTCGTCCACTACCAACATATTCGTCACCTTTTTCCTTTCCAATATCGTCGTACTGAAATCCGTCTTCGCACCCCTACTGCACATCATAAACAAAACCCACAAAATTCAACAACAAAAAAAAAAAAAAATACAATCGAATACAAGTAGGACCCCTACAAACTGAAATTTTCATAATTTCCAATTTGTTTCAACAATATGAACCCCAATGATGAGAAACAGACTTGAGGAAAAGTAAAGTAAAAAAGGAGAGAAAATCAAACGTAAACATTAAGGCTATGTTTGATATCAATTTTCATTTTTAACAATAAATCAATTCTCATTTTCAACCACACATTCTTCAATAAAATAATATTTACTATCACATCAATAATCTTATCTTCTTTTTCAACCACTCATTTCCAATCATATCACAAGGAGAAAAATTGATTTTTGAATAGTGATATGATGGGAAATGTGTGGTTGAAAAAGAAGAAAAAAGTATTGATGTGATGGAAAATATTATTTTATTGAAGAATGTGTGGTTGAAAATGAGAAGTGATTTACTGTAGAAAAGGAGAATTGTTACCAAACAGGCTCAAAATCAATTCTTCCCCCAAAAAATTCCTACCAAACACACACTAAATCCTTTAATTTCAAATATACTGATTGAATAATAGAGATTGAAATTGGAGATTGGAGGAGGGTCTTTTTTGTTTATGGAAAAACGGAGTAAACGTGAGCAGGACATTGCTTGAAATAACTTCAAAATAATATAAATTATACCTTGGAAACAAATGTCTTGAGTACAATATATAATTAAATTGTATAATTCATGCCCTAATTTAAACTATATAGATTTAACTTTTCTCTAGTTCGAATGTATGATATTTAACTGCTTGGAGCCAATACATATGATAATTCATTAGTAGGGACAAATTCTTTTAACTTCAATGGTGGAATGCACAAAAACAGATTCAGTATTGTCACGTATAGCCCGAGATAGTCGTAACACTCTATGAGCACTCGAAGATGTAAGGTCTTTAATTGAAAAATCTTATTTTGGATATAGTTTTAACATGCATTGATCAAGTTTCGAACCAAGTAGAAGCAAGTGTTTCTATAAGTCGGTGGCTTGAAAAATGTGACGTTCTGTCAGAATTAATTGCAATTGCAGATGAAGAACGTATTAAGGTAAGTAATTTTTTTTTTTTTTGTTAAATTAAAATGTATTTATTTAAAGTTACGAAAATTCTACACAAAATAATAATTCGTGTTTAGTTTTAATTCCGTTTACATATCATGTAATCGCTCCCAAGATCTGATAAAGGAGGATTTTTACAATTTCAATTTTATTTTCACAATTTTGACAAAATAATTTTTTTTCAATTAACACCATTTACAAAAAATTTACATTACGCTACGTTTTCAAAAAAAATGTGAGTTGAACGAGTGACTTGCAAGCTAGCTCGGCTCATCCACGGTCCACCAATGGTCGAGCTAGTGGAGGCAAACGGAGCCGAATCTTTTTTGGACAAAATTACCCATGCTCGGTCGACCAGGGTAGTTCGTGTATCGTACCAAATCAGGTGAACTCGTCTTGATCCATTAACACCCTTAAGTCAATCGGATGTTATTTTTTTCTTTAAAAATATCATATATAAATCGAGCATGTACGTGTCTACCGATGATATGGTGATTTAACACCAATTACCCTTCGATATATTAGGATCTACCTGTTTGTTATATTATTTCCAAGTGAGAATAACGATGGTAATTGCAATAGAAAAGCGTGCTGCTTTCACGTGAACCACTCTCGAACCTCGGTGCATTTTTGTAGTGTCACCGATTAAGATATTATCAATTATTTCAATCTTGTAATACAGAATATTAGAAATATATAGTAACAAATATAGCCAAATACTTTGTATTTTGTCTTCTACCAGAAGTTCCCCTTTTGAGTCGACTGGCCTTGATTTTTCTTTTTATTTTATTTTATTTTTTGATCGATACAAGTATATCGGGTATATATGGACAAACAAACAAAAATGTACAAACAATAAGATCTAACGACCCAAAACTATAGATTCAAAATGAATTAAAAACATAACGATTTAAAGAAAACAAAACTTTGTATACATGCGTTCTATCCCGTCTCTCTGTACTATTGGATTGCGGCCTACTATCTTCAAAAATCTTCATATTCCTCACCATCCAAATTTGGTAGACAGTACCAGCAAGTGCAAATTTCTTTGCTTTGGATTGCCAAGAAGTACCTCGAGCTTCTTGTTTAATCCATTTCAGTGCACTCAACAATGTAGACATCAATCTTCTCATCCCCAACCAAGCTTTTATCTGCCTCCAAATGCATGAAGTGAAAGAACACTGAAAAAATAATTGCTGACCCGTTTGGCCGTTTCCACGTGCTCACTTGGTCATACTTCAAAGTTATTTTTGAAAATATAAATAAAGATAGATTTCCAATTATTTGGTCAAAACCGACAATTTGTTTAGCTTAAGCAGCAAGCAGTTCAAAGTTTAATGCAAAGGAAATACCGAACAGATTTCTGGACCAATGACAAACAATTAAACATCTGCATTTCTAGACTCATTATATTTCTCAGTGAACCGTGTCAAAAAGGAATACAATCTAATTATGTTCCTCTACAATTTTACAAAAGACTGCCAACTGAATAGTTACATCTCAAAGAATATAAAAATATATAATTATAACACTACACGGTACCTTGGTTATTGGTTACCCAAAATTTGGACCTTAATCACTATAATCACCGGAGACTATGGAATCTGAGCCTTCGTCCATGTTCCCATCCCCTTCTCCATCTGAGTTATCATTCATTTCCGGACCTTCTTCGAATTTTTCACCATCCTCCTCGTCCTCGTAACCATTATCCTCGTCAACTTCGTCTACGTCCTCGTCACTCATTTCCACCATCTCCTTACTTCTGTTTGGAACTACATCATAACTCGAACCCCATTTTTTAAACTCAAATTGGTTCACTTGGGCGTTATCGTCAAAATCCCCAACTTCCATGCTGTTACTACTGGCATCATTTTCAATTTCAATATTTCTAGCGTCAAAATCCACCAGTTCCTCGTGGACAAAATTTCTTGGCTCTTCCACAATATTCGCAAGGGTGCCCGTGTCACCCAAGTAATTTGGCAGTGTTTCTAAAACGACCTTCTCTGTTCTCCTTTTCCTAAGAGTTCGTCGACCCCGCCCATGCATCTGTCCACCTGTCCTTGCTCCATGCTGCGTAAGTACTTGAGTCAATGTCTCACCTTGTCTTATACCCCGCCTGCTGGATTGCGACATTGAACTAAAAACCCGTTTCCGAGATCGTCCGCGTGGGCGGCCACTTCCTCGCTTACGAACCACTTGCCTACTTCCTGAGCTACCAGGAATGTCACGCAGTTGACCCCAGTTTCTCTCTTTCACAGGTCCATGCTGCTGATCCAATTCTGTAGTTTCAGCCTTTGGGATATCCTTTGAATAAGAATACCTGAAAGCGAACTTCTGTGTACAATAGAAAAGAAATTAAAGGACGTATTGCTAAAAGTAAAAAATATGAGCAA